TTTAAAATAACTCATCGTTTAACTAACATTAGTATGCAAAGCGAGCGCTTTTGTTAAAATACTATATATACATATATATATATATATATATATCAGCATCAGCACTGTGTCGAAGAATGAGCATATCGTTTCGAATAAACAGCAATATCAAACGTCATCATGTTTATGCGTGCAAAACTTTTACTAAATCTGTTATCGCCGATCAATACTGATAAAAAGTAAAGCGATATATTGGGATAGAGTTTTCATATATATATGACATACATTCATATAAGAATTTAAAACTTAATGTTTATACACATGTATATATATATATATATATATATATATATATATAGTTATTTAGTTTTAGTTTTATATACGTATATCGTAAAAAGCTTAAAACAATGACATTTTTTCCGCAAAAAATATTTCAACTTTCATATAAACTATCAATCAAATAAACTTTTTTTTTTTTTTTTATTTACACACACTTACATATATATATATATATATATATATATATATATATATTTACATATATGAACATACAATCATAAATTGAGAGGTCTCGTTGCAGGCATAACTAGCATTTTTTATTTAAAAGTATTTTTTGTTAACGAGTTATGAAAAATTGCATAAAAAACTCGCATTGCGAAATAGCTGGGATATCAACTTTATTTGCGAACATATTCTAAACAAGCGCAATAAATTTTAATATAAAATATTTTGTGTTTTCCGAGGCACCACATGTTTCTCATTCGCTGCGATGGACTATTTAACGCAAACAACCAATTAACGTTAGACTGATAAAAATTTACATATTCCGCAATAGATGAAATTGCTTACTTTCGCTTGCAAATCGTTGCTGATATTTATTGCAAATAATTCTTTATTCAGGCGAAGGCACAGTCGATCAGTTCGAGTTACTTTCGAGTTTGCCCAATAAATTTAAACTTTGTTTAATTCGCTCAACTTTAGCAAAGCAATTCTATTGATCATCTATTGAAAATCTGTGCTCATCGTTACCGTGCCGTAGCAGCACGCTTAACAGAGCACATAGCTTACTTTGTCCAGAAAGGGATATGCAGTGATATCGGTAAAGGTTACGTAAAACTTACTTACACGGTAACAGCAGCAAGAGGCAAGCAGTTAAGAAATGCGACTATTAAGTGGGCATACCCGGGTACAATTTCCAGCGCGGTAGACGATTTGCTCTAATTGCGACAAGGGAGCAAAGATTGTTAAACAAACAAACAAAATAAATGATGAGTTTTTTTTTCTCTTAATTTAATATTTACTTAAGAAATGTTTTATTTTTACGCCCTACGAGATTTGTGGTACAGGGTTATGTTAAGCTTGTTCAAATGTATGCAAAACACAGGAAGACTTACGATAGGCGAGTCTGTCGCAAGTTTGATTATACCGATCGTTTCAGGTTCATTTTCTGAATCTAAATTGGGACTCCAAGGTTAGTGATACTTTTCAAGGCATTATATTATCGACGAGGCGAAGAAAGTGAAACGACACAAAGAAAACTTTCACGTTGAAAACTCTTTCTGTCGCATTATTATAATATCGCTGATGGTCGTAACAAATCTATAGGCACTAAAACAAATTTTCATAAGGAAACGCACATTTTTAAAATAAGGTTTTCTAATACATCAAAAATGGTCTTCAAGGTCTGAGTTTATTGGTCAAGCAAATTCGAATTAGCTTAGATCGAATCTAAACTTCCCCCTACAATTGCCATTTGCTCTCGAGCTCGAGCTCATACATAAGCAAACTCGTTACATCAACATTTCATTGCATGGGATAGTGCGTCATTGTTAAAAGTGAAAACAAGTGGATTCGTCTTGAGCGTGCAAGGAAAAACTCCTCTCACATCAAAATTTTAAAAATGAATATGTCTCAAGATAAATAACACGATCGTACTGGACAAAAAGCGCTACACGACAACGGACGGTCTCGTAAAATATATCGGACTTTAGTCTTAGAATTTATTCTCTGGCTAAATTTATAATAATAATAATAATAATAATAGTATTTTCAATTTAATGCAACTACGTATGTATGCAAAAACTTTCTGAACCGATTCTATTGTTCCTACGTTTACAATATCGCAATATGGTATGTCTTCTCTCCTCTTCATTTCTCTTCTCTTTTCGTCTTTTCTCTTCCCTTTTCTTCTGTTGTTTCCTCTTCTCTTCTTTTCGCTTCCCTTCTCTCCTCTTCCTTTCTCTCATCTTCTTTCCTCTCTTCTTCTCTTCTCTTCTCTCCACCTCTCTTCCCTTCTTTTTTCTTCTCTTCTCTTCTGTTCTCCGACATAAATATTTTTTTCAATTAAAGAATTTTTATAAAACTTCACTAATTGCTACTTGATACTTGATAAGAGTAGAAATAATAGTAAAGGAGCGAAACTGTGTTTGGCTTGGGCTGAAGCTATTATTTATGGGTATGGTTTTTCGAAATGACTGTTAATTATATAAATTTTCCTAATTAAAGTTGTTATTATTTATCTGTTATAACTTAATGTAAGTTGTATCGTATAATCCGCGTATACCGTACAAATCTTCAATTATATTTTATCGATATATACTCACCTAATAGGTTTTTATACATCGTTTTAGTTAGATATAAATTTTTAATGATTGCGATCGACCCATTAGAACGACTCGGTTGTAGAATCGGACATAAAAATTTCAGGTAAAAAAGAACTCTACAATCAAAAGGCTTTAATGAAATATTGTTCAGGACAGATGTTACGAAAAGAGTCAAATTGCAAATTGTTCGATAGTAGCGAGCTTAGCTTTGAACCGATTTAATTTTAATTTTCAAAGTTAATCTGATGAAGTAGGTTGAATAAAATGTGAGATCAATTGATTAGTAATAATAATAATAATAATTATAATGGTAGAGTTCTGCAGGAAGAATATTGAATTTTTATTATTTCAATAACACCTACATCAACTAAGGTATATTAAATTTATGCGGGCTTTGAAAGATTGTGATATATATCCAGAATCATTTCATTATTTTGGTTAACCAAGTGTTATGTACTCTTGTGTTCAATGGAAAGGCTAGAGATATTTTAGAGATATTTTAATAAAACTGACATACTTTGATTAAAGAAAGAACGTTGTTTTAGATAGGACTTTGTCGAACCATTTTAAGAATCGCTTTGCATATAAAAAACGATTTTGTTAAACATTTTGGCGTATTGAATGAATGCGAAAAATATTGATTGGACGGGATCACTTTATTAAACGCTCTCGCATATAAATTCTCGCTTTGCAAAAGAAAAAGTATAACACTTTATATGGAAATAAGGCGTAACTTTTGGTATCTTATAATAGAAATTGGTCCAATGTTCGATATTTAACAATATACTTAACAACAATATAAGTTTACTTATCGGGTAACCGGGTTCAATATTTGACTTTTTATTACGAATATAGATGAAGGATTGTATTAGTCGAAATTGTATAAGACACGTTACAGTCAAGTTCACCCGACAATCTATCGATTTTTTGCTTACTTCAAATACTTAAAATTATAGTTGAGCCAATGTATATAATTAAGGTAATATATGTATGTATATATATATATATATATATATATATATGGATATATATATATACATACAAGTATTAGATATGTATTAAATATCTAATAGACTTACTAGATATACATATAAATATATATACATAAATATAAGCGCATGTATCAAATGTCATGTATTAGTTATATGCATGTATATACTTAATGAAATAGTAATAATTCAGTTAATATATAATTACTTTGTCTGTGGCAAAAGCAATTGAAGACAGTTTCGTTTTGATGCGATATAAACAAGTTGATCATATATTACTTGAAATTAAAATAAAATAAAAAAATTTGTGCGAATTTTTTTTTTTTTCGTAATGAGTATTTGTTACTTATCTTTTGTCGCGAATTTTTATTTAATTTTGCTTCGCACTTTTTTCAAGGAGATGCATATGCGAACGCATATATTATGTATCTGCATATTTTCTTACCTAATATATACATATATATGTAATGTATGTAATAAATTGAATTCGTAGACTAAAGTTTGAAATTCTTACTCATATATCTGGTATCATTCTTGCATGGCTACCTTCCGCTTACCTCTCTGCCTCATTTAAGCTTTTCTATTGCTCTCTTTCCTTCCTCTTTAATACAATGCTTAAAAACATTAATTAAAAACTTATTTAATTTCTTCTTTTTATATATTTTTAGCAGCGATTGTTTTTAGCAAGATTGTAAAAGTTTATCAAGAAATCTTAGCTAACTTTATCGTGCAAGGCAAGGACGTGCGTGTTAAAGAACTTCTTCACAAAGTGTTGAAGAAACTGACGTATGTAGATACCTATGCACGCACGCATACAAACATTTGCACCGTACAATACAGCAGCGAAAGCGAATGCAATAGTGTTTGATATACGCTAAGAAATTTCTTATCAATTCGCAAATGCATAAAAGTTATTTCGAGAAAGAAAGAAAAATTAATATTCCGCGTGTATAAAGAGAGGGAGAAAAACGGAAAAATAAAAAAAAATTAAAAAAAAAAAAAAAACCAAAGCAAAGCAAAAAATCCACTACCTACCTTGTCCCCCACCATGGCCGAAAAAAAAGAAAACCAACAACAATAACGGCAAGAAGAGCATTTATCCTGCCCTTAAAAATAAAGGCGAAAAATTTTCGGTAGTAAATGCAGTAAAAACACACAAGATTGGCAATATATTTTGTCAACAGCAGCAATAGCAATAGCAATAGCGCAAGCAAAACAATAATATTCCGTATTTGCGATATCATTGTTAGCAATAACAAGCAAGCAGAAAGTAATCCTAAATAACGGCAACAGCAATATCAAACCTACTACATAGAAAAAAAAAAAAAAAAAAAAAAAAAAAAAAAAAAAAAAAATATAAATATATATATATATATATATATATATATATGTATACACCTACTACATCTATAGCATTGCGTTGTATGTGTCATTTTGTGTAGTAATCGTGTAGAAACTCTTACTCAAGAAATAAGAGCATTTGGCCTTTAACTAAACAGAAATATATTGCATTTGCGAGGCAAAAAAGGAACAAAATAAATAAATAAATATAAATAAAAAGGAAAAAAATAAATAAATAAATAAATGAAACACAAAATAGAGGAGCAATTCCTTCGCTTAGCACAGGAACACCTTCTCTTTTCGGTTAACGTAAATGCGGAGATTTTTGGCTTTAATACTGCCTATGCAGCATCGTGGCAATAGTTACATCGATACAAACATCGACACAATACATAGAATTTTTGTGCCAGTTCAAATTTGGTAATCTATGGGAAAGTGTATATCGAAAAATCCAACCAGTCTAACGATAGCTACAATATCTGAAAAGAATTTGGCAGCAGCCAGCCATATATTGGGTAAATATTCCGAGAGCTCAGAGTATGTCGCACTTAAAGATGGCCAAGGGAATCAATTGTACGAATACATTGCTGTCAACGATAGAACGAATGGCAATGTTGTTGTCATCACGGCCGACTGCCAAGATAGCGAACAAAATGAAAAACAAAAGCAAAAACAAGAGGGACAGAAACGGCAACACGAATCCTACGTAGCAAATAATAACCAGGAAATAATCGTTGAAAATATTTGCACAGATTCAACGGACCGTTACACTTGTGTTGCCATACAGCAAAAGATTGAATGCGATGACAAGGCTAATATTACAACTTATAATGATGAGTATGATGACGTCGTTGAGTCTCTATTAGATGTTGGCAAACATATAGCTACTATGAGTTTCTCGTCTTCATCTTCGTCTTCGTCGTCGTCGTCGTCGTCGTCTTCTTATGTCGCTGCGACTGCTAATCTTACTGTTACTCCTGCAGTCGCTATTTGTAGCAATATTAGTCCGAGTAAGCTTTACGATTATGATGTCCACCTTGCCAATAGCAATAACAATAATCATAATTACTATACTGACATACAACATTCTATGGTTCAGTTACGTTTATATCGCCAAAAACAATGGCAAGAACAACAGCAACAAATACAAATGCAGCGAATAACATCCGACCAGGATAAAATAGATGCTTACGACAGTTATAATATCAAGAATTTTCTCAAGCAACAAAACGTTAAAAAAATTCTTAAACTCTCAGCGACGGCGACATCAGCTTCAAGTAAATTAAAATCTTCAAATAATTTAAAACATGATTCACCATCAAAGGCTTCTTCCGAATGTGAATGTAGTTTAAAGGTAAGTGAATGGAATAATTAATTTTTGTTTTTCTTACATCTATATAAGTGGAATGACGGAAATGAGTTAGTTATGTCATTATCAAATTAGTAAAAGACACCTCCTACCGTATGCTTGTTTGGAAAATTTTCATGTCCTTACTTGAAATACGGACTGGATTTATTTACGACTACTAACTGTCCTGCAATGAAAAAAAAAAGGATGAGAAAACGTAAGAATACTAGAGAAACTTTCCAACAACCGATTGAATAAATTATAGAATACGCGCATAATAGCAATAAAAGCGCTTGAAAGGCAGTCAAGCATTCCAAAATCTTCCTTGTAAACAATAAAATAAACTATTACCGGCAACAATATTCGGTAAATGATGGTTCAAACACTATATTCGACTATTAAATATCCTACACCACTTCGGCTAATACAATCCTTCACCTGTCTTGTAGGTCATAGAGAAGTAATTTTCATCGTAAAATATTCAAAAATCGTATCTTTTTTGCCATGTAAAGGCTTACTTTTCATCAGAGCCCTTACATAGCAAGAGGTCTGAAACACGAATTAGGTAAAATTATATATCGCATCACTTGCCATAACATGGTTAATTCGTCTAGTATATCACTATGCTTTCTTTCACTATTGCCTTTCGTCGAGGAATACTAAAGAATGACGCGCATCTTTTCTTGCGAGGACTTCTTAAAAGTAAGGTTCGTAGAGGGCGAGCGATCGTAGAAATGATGCGATTGTACGTATTCTCAATAGGGTTGGTCCGTGCACCGCATCCAAATTTCATTAAAAGCATCCCGATGATTGGAAGCTTCAAAGTCATAACGAATATACTCGTCGACAGATATCCTTGTGAATCGACTGGTGTAATGAAAGCTTAGTTTATCATAAACTCTTCGAGGCATTGAATACATGCATACACACACATACCTGCACACCGTACACGATGTACGATATGATGCTACAATAAATGCCAGGCGCTGTCACTAGGATCGATCATTTGATGAAATTCATATCGAAGCTTATTCTCATATTCGGTATAACTAGTAGGCTTTTTTAGAAGATGACTCGAAAGTCCTTACTTTGTATGCCTCGGTTAGGCATGGATTTTTTTTCATGCCTTTTCAATATTTTACGGAACTTTATCTTATTTAACGCTAGAACTGTCAATTTCTTGCATACATTGTATATCTACCGAATGGGATCATTTTGATCCCTTACCACACATCGCAGAACTAGACGTAGGCAGCTTACATTCTTTGGCACAAGCATTTTTTAAAATTGGCTCCAAAATGATATCGTCAACAGCGGACGTATTAGTAACGAATCAAAACCATGTTTGCAACAAACACGCAAATGAATATGGTGAACGTTTAGGTACCAGGTTATCTGAAATATCATCCGGACAGGATCGAAAGTTATAGACCGAAATATAAAACAATCATTGGTCTCTACTGCTTATCATTTATGGTGGGCGTATATTTGGGCAGATCGCAAACAGTTTTTGCTAAACTGCAGCAACTTCTTAGCTCGATTTTTGCGACTGTATAAGTATACGTCACCGATATCTTGAAAACTAGAGGTAGACTAGAGGTAGAAAAAAAGTGATTGCAGGTATTTAAAGGTCTTGTCGCATAAATAAAAATCATTCAATAATTACGGAACAATGCATGCTGTATACCCGTTTTTTCTAAGATCGCAAATTAAAAACGAATCAACGTGATGTACCCGTTTGGGCTGCTGTTAAAGTTAAACGAAAGCTCATATACCCATCAACTTTCCGTTTTCTATAAGCTTCCTTAACTTAAGCATCTGTTTCTATAACAAATTGATAATAATATTAAATTGCTCCCGAATTATTAATCGGATTTCTTGTAGAAATATATTCTGCATCGCCCGCCACACATGTTAATGTTGTAAAAAATATTCATTCTCATGTATAAGACATACCAAAACATTTGAATCTCTCTCTAGTCGTCCCCGTAGTGTACGTTGAGCCAAAAAAAAAAAAAAAAAAACAAAGAAATCATTTCATGTTTCTTCTTGCACAGGTAATCTTCTACTATCACACCTTTTAAGTAGACGTCAATATGCGTTTGACAGTGATGTTTACTTCAAGTCGCTTTGTGCAAAGCCACGGGTATACCGCAGAGATCTATTTTTAGGCGGTTATTGTTTTCCTGACACATCAACGAACCATCATGAGGATCATGGTGATGTCCGAATACACATCAATTGTCCGCCGAATGACATTCACGCAAGCAAACAAACGAACAAATAAGCAAATGTTCATGCTATAAAAAAACAACATTTTTTATACCCATGACCGAAGGACGAGGAGCATATTCATTTTGTCAAGACGTTTGCAACACCCGCAAGAAAGCATCAGACATCCCACAAAATTTACACATTCTTGATCAGCATCAAATTCGACACCGGTATTAACCATGTCCGTCTGTCTGTCTGTCCATCTGTCTGGCTGCGCATCTGCATAGTATTAGTCGTACACATTCTCCCGTTATCGGAAATGAAAAAAAATTTGGGAGGAAACTAAACTTTTCACAGGACGCGCTCCGAAACCCCACACGCCTATAAGACAAAAATTGTTATTTTGATAATAAGAAAAATCAGCTGCGCCCACTCCACATTATGGAGCATACATTTATAGTTCTTTTCCTGGTATTGTCTTTTTTAGGATAACGGTGATGGGTACAAAAGATTGGGTGACCATCGAATATAATTTTCTTACTTTGTTTAATTGCGTAATAAACTTTTTAAGCCTTCGAGAATATGGAGAAAAATCATTATTTACTTGAAAAGAGAATTTTTTCTCTAGAATTTTGAATCACTTCTAGGAAGTTATAATTACATGATGGTTTCTGGGTTCACTACTATACAAACAGTTATCTGAACAAAGTATTTATTTTCACTTAAAAGCATTTCAAAGTCAAAATACGTTCGTCTCGGCTTCACAGTGACGAATGTTGAAAGCAATCAGTTACTCCGCTCAGAAATTATTATAAGAGTTTAGGCTAATTATAGGATTATACATTTTTTTTTGCCATTTTCTCTATCATTTCGCAACACGTAAAATGCAAAATACACGATTACGTCCTTGACGGATGCATTAAAAGCGACAGATACTCGGATTTACACTTCGAAGGAGGGAAATGAGAAAGAAACATTAAAGACGGGAGAGCAGTTGATGCCTCTGGAAGAGCAGACTAATGGTAAAAATTTGATATAGCAAACAACATGTAAGTTTAAAACTCTCAATACGGTTTCCTTAAAACACGATTTTAAAAACAACAACATAGCGCCAAGAATTTTGATTCTTTCTATCCAAGCTTTCCAAAGGGAAGTATGTAAGAGATTTTTGATATCTTAATTTAAAATTTGCTCATTAACAAATGATTCTCACTTTTGGTCCCCGAGTACTACTTCAGCGTACAAATATCTGCTTTAATACGACTGGCAGAACTTCTGGTACATTTGTATATATAGTTTGTGCCGATGTATGCAACACTCACAAGAACTTGACGTACGCCCACCTTTTATTATCCTGGTCGACTGTGAATCGACTTAACGTTGTCTGTCCATCTTACTTTTTTTGTGCTTAACCTACAGGTCTTAGTTTGTTCAAAATTTTGACAAGATTGGGTTTATTGGTATGTTTTGGCGCAGCGACGAACGCTGCTGAAAATGGTTCTGATCGGATCACTTTTTCGATCACTTCCTATATACACCTCTTTTTGAAAAATCGTTACATCAATGCTTGCAGAGTCGTGTAGGGTGTTTAGTGATAGGCCCATTATGGTGATTTTACTTGTACAAATGAGAGTGTCCGTTGCGTGGATTGCTTAAAAAGAAATGAAAGTGGTGAAAACTAGATGCGTAGGACATTATTCCTATTTCCCAAAATCGTGTCACATAGAGAGAGATCTGCCATATCTTCAACAAGCTACAATTTACGATAGCAAAAAGAAATCGTCACATCAGACTAGTGAGGCGCTCAACAGTAATGCTTGAGAATCATTTCTTTATACACTCTGTTGCATGTCATTCTAGGCCTGATAGCCATTATTCCTAAAGGTCATCATATATCTTTTTCGCTTTGTTTTGGTCTTATTTCCCTTCGTGATGGGAGGTATATTGGTTTTGTCAAAACATTTACAACACACAAACGGAAACCTTAAAGACCCCATAAAGTAAACATGCTTTTAACCCAGCAACGAATTCTAGGCCGATACAAGCGTGTCTGTCTGCCTGCATGTGTAATGTCTGTGGTACAAGTTCTTCTGGGCGCCAAACAGCAGCAGTCGACTTCGAATTTGACACAAAGATTGAAAGCTTCTGCACGTAGATTGGTGTTGAAATTGTACCGATACGGTCAACGGACACGATCGCAATACAACATAACCTGGAACCACTTTTCTTTTGAAGAAAGCAAAAAAAAAAAAATTTTTTTTCTCTTGTTACTTATAAACTGTAACAGGTGTAACGACAAAAATTCGCATATGTATTTTCTGGGTAGCCCTGCAGCACATGTGCACCTTACTCAATGCTATAGAATATTACAATTTAGTTCTTTCATTAAAACGAATGCAACATCGAGAAGGAAGCTTCAGGGACCATGCAATAAAGTGCACTGGTTAGCGTAAAATCTGTGGATAGTTCTAGAAACCTTTGTCAGTCCATCGAATCAAAAATGGAGATGTCTACTTCAAATTTGTCCAGAAGATTGGAAGTGCTTCCACGGCGGTTGATATTGAAAACGAGTGAAACTGGTAGGAGGACTCGTCCACAGCACAATACAATTATATCCTGGCTTTCTGTATTTTTGCCCGTAAACTACAGCAGACACACGATATAAATTTGTACTTCCATTATACATAAATAAAAAAGAACAGCCACGCCCACATAATATTGTGGAGTAGATAAATTTAGTTTGTTTCGTCTTTTCAGACTTTTTGAAGATAACGGTGATTGGTATAAAAGACTCGGTCGGTTTTTTATTTTCTTTAATTTTTTCAATTCTCAATAATTTATTTTGCGTATATATTTTTAAGAATGTGTATTATCATCATAGGTGTACATATACCAATATTTCGTGGTTGAATATCACTAAGCAATCGTAGTAAAGTGAATCGAAAATGATTAAAATAATGTCCAAAGGATCGCACCAAGATTCTTCAAAAAAATGTACAGTTCACATGTCCATGTAGTCCGTTTCCATTCAAGTATTGACATGATTAAAACTCCCTCAGCGGTATAATCTGAGATGTAAAATTCCACGTGAGGCTTCGAAGTGTCTGCAAATTGCTTTAACACATTATCTAAAAGAATGATGAAAGTAAACAAACCTAATACTAAAATTCATCTTAGAGAATATAGGAAAAAAAACGGAAAAAGGGAACTGTTTTATGGTTTGCTACACAAGCTGGCCATGACCTAGTTTTTCCTTCTCTGCTTTACATGTACGGGAGGATCATCCTCAGAAGGCATATATGGGCGGATATTTTGATCCTTCTATCTGGTCAAATTTATGAATGATGTGCGAAAACCCCAACTTTTTTCCGCTGCTAAAGACAGAGTTATTCTAAGTTCTATTAACCTTGCGCGCCTGACTAATTCTGCCAATTTTGAATATTAGTTCGTTGGCCGGACCCTTTAATATTTGTGCTAAATTTCATTTTATATTCATTTTCGTTTATTCATTTATTAGGTAACTCTAAAGCCACACGTCTATTATCTACTTACATCGACACATTTCGTGTGCAAAGAGAAACAATAACATAAGTGAGTGTACAAGGAAGCTAGATGGCTGCTATTGTAATCATCTTGCTCCAACAAATATATACATTATGAGCTAAGCAGTGCGGTCAATTTTCGGTCTTCTAAACGTATTCGAAGAAACAGCACGAACAATGAAACATCGTTCGGCTGATGAGTTAGACAAGCGTGGTAGTAATATGAAAGGGTTTCTGATCGATTTTGAGGACTGCAGTCGTTCAATTAAAAGGCTTGGAAATCGAGTTTGAATGATTTTGCGTAGGCAAATAAGCAATAAAGGAAGAGTTAGAGTCGTTTACACATAAGCTTTCGATCACTACAAGAAAATTTGAGTTCATCATACAATTTGTTTATAAGCTTAGTGTATAGTACTCCGTCAAATCTTTTTGTGAGATCGAGAACGACAAGGACACAGCCGCTACCAGTATTGGTGTTGGAAAAATTTCGAGGCGCAATGTATAGTCCGAAACTCGAGATGGGCATCATGCAGGGTATCACTGTTATTCAAGAATGAATCAACTTGTTCCTACTTTGGAGAGGCGGCGTAGAATTCTAATCGGTCGAAGATTATTATGTCCAAAGGACAGTCCTATTTAGGAATGGGTCTACAAGGCGATATCGTAATTTCTGCGGCCAGGAGAATGTTTACCCCAAACATTTGGTAGACGGGTACATGCACAAACACACAGACAGACGGACATGCCGATATTGACCTAGAAGTTGATGCTGATCAAAACTATATATACCTCAGAACATTTTGGCGAACTGAATACGTCCTCAACTTTTGATGATGGGCATCAAAATAATGAAATTAAAAGAAAATGGAAAGCAATGATTTTCTTAAATTATTTCTACCTTTGTTACCGCTTCTGCTATGTATTCTGTATACGAATTTCCATCGCTAGCGATCATATCATGCACTTTTTTTCCAAAATTAATTCGATTTATGGAGTTGTGCAGACTCGACTTCGGGTCATGTTGCAGAGTATTGTTCTAAATTCGCTTATACTACTCGAACATACGTTCACGGGCGGGAAGCAATCATCAGATTCAGAAAGTGACTCTAAATCGATTGGCATGATAAAGGGATATCTAACATCCTTCTGGGTGTTGCCTTCCCTTGTATCACAGGTAGTATAGGGTGTAAAAATTACAATATTTAAAATTTTTCATATATTATTTAAAACAATTTATTATATTGAAAGTAATTGATCACAACAGCCCTTTACTCGCCAACGTACTAATATAGTAATTACCTCCTAAATCACTTGCGTCTTTCCGTCTAATATCTGCTCATGTATTTCTGTGTCCAACCTGAAATTTAGGACACTAGTCCTCTTTTTCAACCCCTTCCCATGTAGCGACGCTTCTTGAACAAACTTTATATAGAGAAAAATTGCAATTTTCAAAATTTTTCGACAAATATCGCTGTATGATAATAATATTTTGACATTTTAGATTAGTATGAAAAATTTGTTTCGGCTAGGGCAATTTTTTGAACTCTCTCTCATATAACCATTCCTATAGCGACCTCATCTTTATAACGCAAACAGACTTAATTTTTAATATTGTATGATGAAAATAGGTCCATAGTAGCAAACAGGCAAAAAGAAATGAACAGCGGGGAATTTGGACTACATGTTCTTATTGTTTAGATCCCAACATATGTAAGGGTTATCATGAAAAGCAAGCCCTTATATGGAGAAGAAGTATAATTTTTAGTTTTCTATAAAGCATATTGAAAACTAGTGAAAATTTCGGGAAGTTAATTAAATTTGCTAAATTTGGATTACGTCATATGATGCTTCGGCCATCTCCTAATATGCGGTCTTTCATGCAATATATATGTATGCATGAAAGTAATGTGTCATTTTTGGTGTCTTATTATCAAAACGAGCGAATAATTTTTCTGGGCGAAGTGCTGTAGGGTATTAAATAGTCGGCCTTGCCCGATTGTAATGTTTTTATTTGCTTTTCATTGCGAACTTACGGTTATGAATTTGACAATTGACTACGTATATGTTAGCGAATAAAGTACATCGGAGACATTACTACATTAAAGTTACGTGTTTAGTATTTTCCTCCTGAAAATATGCAATAGATTTCATATCTATTGCATCTAAGAATATGCAATATGCTGAAATATTGAAATGATGCTATAATTACTAAAGAGTTAAACTTAAAAAAAAAGACATTAAAATAAAAATAAATTATTCTATAATCATAAGTCTTATGATTCCGGTTTGTTGAGTGCCCTCTATTAAAGATAGATTTAGTCATGAACGAAATTCAAGATAAATTACTCCGCTTAAGCGATGATGCATACACCTAACAGGCATTTATCACAATTAGTCATCGTATAAAAATGTCGGAAAATTTTCATAGATGGCGCCTAAGCATAATCACTGGAAAAAAGATTTCTCTACATGAATGCGCACGCGTTATGGGAAATGGGAAAATAGACAAACAGGCATGAAAGGGCACAGAAAACCCCAGAATTTCCTTTATAGCAGACGTTTAACGCACATCATAAGCAAATTGCAAATTCTTTTACGACTCAACTGTAGAGAATTTAAATAAAATTTATCTTATAAAAATACTGCTTAACAAACATAATAAAAAATATTTTCAATTAGTTCACATAAATTCCTTTGTCATATAGAAAATAATTAATACTCTATCTAGCAATAAATACGTACAATATTTGGAAAGAGTTTAAAAGAAAAAATTAAACTTATTGATTGAGAAAAAGTGCTTAAGAAAATTTCGTAAAATTTTAAACATTTAATAAATCATCCCTTGCATACAAATTAAGTAATAATTTGTGAAAAATAAAAGCAAAGAAATCTATTAAATTATCTCTAACGCCATCAACGTCAACATCAACCGTTCATATAGTAACGTTGGTGCTTGGAAAAAAAAATCGGTCTAAAGTTGAAAATTCAATATATCGAGGCCCGCCTATCCAGGGGGCAACAATCATTTTAAGTTCTTTTCAAGATGGATGAATGTGAGAACCTCGTCATCGGTTTAAAGGAATACGAGGCGCTTGATTTAAAGCAGCAGTCAATCAATGATAACGAAATCGATATTCATCAATTAGAATCATTCGACATTGAAGATAATATGGTAAAGTTTTGTGTCTTCCTTCTAAGATAATATCCTTTGCCGTGCTTTTCCGGCTTTAACAGATTCATCCCTTTTTAAATATATATATATATTTATATATATATATATATATATATATATATATATAGTTAGTATACATGCACGCAGTACGACACAAATGCACGAAATTTCCAATTCCATTATGTATATGTGCGAAGAAGAGTGTGTCAAGTGCGTGTGTTCAACGTTAAATACAAGAGATGTATTCTTTCTTTATATTCTCATTTACTTAGTCTTACTACAATCATTTTTAACGTGATTTCTTTCTATTTGTTTTCACATGAAATTTTTTTTATTTCGTATTTATTGTGTAACGACTCCATTCCAGTATAGGATTTTGATATTCTCCATATTAGTCATCTATCGTAAGACGCTACCACCACCGCTCTGTTTGGTATTAACTATAAATTGGATAAATAATTCAATAACCGGCCGAATTGAAAAATGCATTTTTTTTTGTTTCGTTAGTTATCTTTAGTAATACTGCAGCAAAACGACGCTGTAGAGTGTTATTCTATAATCAAGTAATCAACTTTATGCTTAACTGCAATACGAATATTAACAGGTTGAGAATTAATAACGGAATCTATCAATTAACTTTTATTGATTAAATAAACATGCAAAGTTATATATATATATATATATATATATATATACAACATTGTTGTTTTTATTTTTAAACAAGTCTCTAATTGGAAAATTTCTTTTATTTCTTATTAGGGTCAGATTGAAAGCAAGAAGAGATCAAAAAAGCATCAGGGCAATGAAATACAAACAAAAGGCACTGCAATGTCATTCGGCTTTCGTAAAAATCTGAATACAACGCCAAAGAAATTGAAGAAATTAATAAAGGGCGAGACAAAGAGTTCTAAAAAACAGGATAAATGTAATAACTTTTGCGAAGACGAGAGTGCCACAGATGGCACGGGTAATGGCGAACGTCTCACAACAGCCATGGGAAAAACGGAAACTATAGTAAACAATCCAGCAGCGAGCAGAGATGATAATGGAAATGCAGGTATTGCGCTTATGTATATGTCGCTGCACTCCATGTGTTCATAATCATCCAACAGGTGTTCGATCATTTAGCTTGTTTATACATATATATATGTGTATATAAAATGATAATATATATATATATATATTCATATATATGTATATGTGTATATATATCTACTATGTATGTATATGTATATCCAGATTTTTTTTGTATATATGTGTTTATAAAAGTAAAATATGTTGAAACACATTCACGTAATTGAATTTTTTCTTGTTCTTTTTATTTCTTTCAATTTGTACACGTTTGTGTGTGTACACGTGCGTATGCTTACAGATTTACTTAATAATATACACTTTGAAAAAATGGGTGCCGCCGCCCATCATACAGCACATCATACAGCAAATACGACGACACAAGGCTTATTCGCGGAACAATTTGCAGGAAGTGTTGGAGAAGGTGGCCAAGCAACTTTGCCAGGGGCTGGCAGCCGTTTCGGTTATCGCGGCCCCATACGTCCCTCCTCAACCGATATAACAGCGCTTTGGCAAAAGGATAGCCATGATAATATTCAAAATAACAACTGCACCAATGCTGGCGGTAGTAATACGAGAGGTGTGCTCATAAGCAATTGTAAGTACAGTTTAATGCATTCCATAACGAAGTAGAGACAAAGATTCATATTTGCATTGATGCAAAATTAATTAAGTGAACGTTGACGTTTTGAAAATCTGCCAATCAATCCAGTTAATTGAAATTCAATTTTAATTAAATTATTACACAAGTTGATGTTAATTGAAAACTACTTGATATTGAACGGTTTACCCAATGATGTCATAAAATGAGAAACAAAGCGCAAATTATATCCCGATTCTATCCAGATGGATCTACACATTCTTAACTCTACTCTCACCCATCCAAGTATCGGATCTAACATCGCTTCTAATACCGTTCATTGTCACGTCGTAATTTGCGATAGATATGGGACAAAGGACCTTGAAATCGTAATACGAAAATGGGTCGCTTGCTCTCGCGGATAAATAAGAGCTACAAAAACATATTCATTGCACGGATGCTACACCCAAAAGGGCTCCAGACGGATCTGCCTTCACTTTCTGCAATAATCTGAGCTTGTCTGTCCGTCTGTCCATTTCATTGTCTAGTGTTCTAGACATGCAGGCTACAAAATTTGAGATATTTTGACGAAGTTTGTGACGCGGACTTGTTGTGATCCTAGAACGATGGTTCGGATCGGATCCCCTTTTCGCCCATTTCCCAATAGTTGTAGGATGGCGTAGTTGGCCGTGGCCCACCATAGTCTTCTTACTTGTTGTATTATGACTTATGGGGTATTAGAAGTGCGCTTTGATGAAAATATTGTAGGCCTAGACGTAAATATTCCGAATGGGCCCGAATATTCGCGTACGTGTAAGTGAATGAATATTTACATTTCGATCGTTGAAAGGCTGAATACTTTTTAATTACTTATTCATTTTCACATTTTCTATTCTTTGTTCATCTATTTTTTGTTTTTTTGTACAGTTGCCTTCTTGCACTGATTGTAGAGAATATTTGCGGCAGGTTTATGCTCACTCCTAATTCGACTTACACTCTTGCCATTTTGACAATTCGAAAGTTGGGTACGCAACATATTTACGAATAAATGGGAGTAGAATCTCAAACAGATGACGCACAGACTAAAAGTAAAGACATGCCGAAGTGTCACATAGAATTTGTTTTGCAATAGATAAATTTACTTTTCGACACTGAGAATAATTTGAATGAAAGGGCTAATCATTTTTACGATGACCTCTAATAGTAATAATTTTCAATTATAATGTTTTGCAATTTTGCATGTTTTTAGTGAAACGTCGTTCCAAAAGTGCACATGCCGGTCGCATAATATCTTCTTCGAATGAGAGTGATGGCGAAACAAGGGAGGGCGTCGGCGCTCGGAAATCTAATCAACCAAAAACGATAACATTCAACTTGAAACAGAATAGTACCATTGAATACGATCGAAGGCAATTCTTTGATCAACCCATGGTAGCAGGAATATCATCGGGATATTTGAATGGACGGACCGCAAATTTTATTAATACTGGTTTGCAGAATAACGTTATGTAAATATCTACATTTATTATCCGCAAAATTATAAAGTTTTATTATTCCAATAAAATCGGTTTAGTATATGTCCCACGCCACGTCTGCCAGCCGCGACGTATTCCAAATTTACACTTCAAACAGTTAGTCTACCTAAGCCAGAGTTTGCCGTTCCGATAAGCATTAATGCTACAACGCCTACAACGCCAGCTGGCTCATATGCGTCTTCGCCAGTTACCAATACGGGGGCCCGTGCAAAGGATTTTATTACAGTTCGCGGAGCAACTACGACGAATCAATATTCAGTGACGGCAACGCAAAGTCAGTGCATCGACCCGAAAACTGCTAAACATATGGCTAACAGTTCTACGAGACGTATTTTTTGTGGCAGCCGTGAAATATCCGCTGATTCCGGTATAGCTAGCTTAGATATGGCATTGGATAGTTCAACATCCAGTGGGGTTCGTTCGAGTTCACGTCACGCCTCTCCTAAACGCAGTCGAAGTCGTCCACGTAACCTGCAAATGGTTATGAATGGTCGGGGTAAATTTGAGGTGCGCGATTTAGATGATTCGCTTTCGAGTGAGTCCAGCTCGATTGTTGAGCCACTGGCTTTACCTAAGCTACCAGCAGAAAATCAAACAGTTCCACTACCTCTAAGTGGCTTGGTACGCTCAAACACGGTCTTGAGTCGTGAATCATACGAATTGAAAAGCACACAAAATGTTCATGACGACAGAGGTATCACTCACCTAAACTTCTTTATCCCTACTTATTATAGCATAATTTTGAAAAAATTTTCAGATAAAACTAAAAGCAACTCTCGCGACCGTAGCAATTCATCTACGCATGCTCCATCCGAAGAAGATAGTGAGTCGATCGATGAAGAAAAATTACATTTGGATAGATCCGCTACGGAAAAAGGGATCAAAGTAAGTTTAAGTGAACGCAACAAATGTTGAATAAATGTTTACTAAGCAATCGTGAATTTAAGGAGCGACAATTCAAAGACATTAACACATGTTCAAGTAAAACTTCTTCACCTGGAAGTTCCATTATATCGTCATGGTGTAATGGCGGTGAATCGTTAGCTGCAAAGGACTTCAGTAATTTAAGCCTAAGCAGCAGTGAAGATAGCAATAAGAAAGACAATAAATTACAAGAGGAGGAAAAAGAAAAAGAAGCCAAAATACAACTGGAATTGAATGACGATGACCTGAGCATATTAAATACTGATATGCAAATAAGCACAATTTGTAAGTAATAATTGAGAACATTCCCCCTAATCTCTACTACTCCAACTAACATATTCGCATACATATTCGCTTGATTTGGCTAACGCATGAATTGAGGAAAAATTGAAATCATACAGAAACTCATTCAATTATGTATTTGATATGTCAGTGTGGAAGAGAGGAGTCTATGCAAATTTTTATATATAGAAATGTGTTATCAAAGAGATAGGTTGTATAAAAAAATAAAAAAAAAATAAAAAAATTGAAGAAGAAATTGCTCAGACTATCGCTTGTAATAAAATATTTCTTGGCTTCTTCTTCTTATCTTTTTATCGGTATAAAGCATCTCTAACTGAAACTATTGCTCTTAATGCCAGTAATGATACTGATAACGTGCAGGGTGTACAGAAAGAAGTTCCTTTAGAAAAAAGTGAGCGGCCAAAATGTTTCTATAATGCTATTGATGAGAATAAATTTGCTGTGATGGCATTAGAGGGTAGTACGTTTCTGTTGGATGATGAGACTTCACCAACGGATAGTTTAGTTAGTAGCACCGAGTCCGAGGAGGCGCCATGCAAACAAAAGAAACATAAAATAAATGAAGAGCTTCAAGAGAAGGATATAGATGAAATATCGCCAGAGTTAGATGTGACCAGTCCAAATTCACCCGGCACTCCAACTCATGCCTCTCATTCGTTATCGTTGTCCGATTGCGGAAATCTTATCGATGATGAAATTGCCGATCAGCCCGCATTGCTTTTTAATCATGACTCGCAAGATGGCGGCGGTGGTGGGGGCGAAAGCGTTACATCGCGCAAAGATAAAGCCGATACGCCCACTCTAATGGAAAGCATGAGTTCAATGCGTAACTCTGTGCACAGTCAAACAAAATCCCGTAGCGCTTTGCATCAAGCCATGGAGTTGAGCTTACGAACACCCCTCTCTTTACGCAAAGCGGTAATGGAACGCGCCGAATCATTAGACACTTTGTCCCCCTGTGAATCGATCTGTTCTGATGATCTCATGATGGACTTTGATATGAACAGTAGTATAGATTCAATAGATAGGTAAGAGAAAATTATTTATGTTAAAATCATTTTATTCTCGTTTTCTTTTTCCGTTTTTATTTATTTATTTATTTATTTATTTATGTTTTGTTTTGATTTATTTATTTTATTTTATTATTGTTATTATTGATAGATCGGCTTCAATTAAAAGTCGTAGCGGTTCCGATTTAAATAAGATCGACGATTCTGAATTGTTTACAGAATTAGATCGTAAGGGTAGTGATGTCATGAAAGAGTTAAGCTCGATATTACGTTCGCACGCAAAGAAGAATAACGAAAAAGATATCAGGTAAGTTACTTGCATAAAAATGAAAACAAATTGCAGATAAGATGTTGATGAATGAATTGAATAAAAAACATATTTTTCTTTATTTTTTAAAAATACACATAAACAACAAAAGTCGTAGTGAGAAAATGGTTTTTTCAAAACCAAACAAAAAAATTGAAAAAAAAATCATTAATAATTTAATTACTAAGTCACCGACACGTATGTGTGTATTTGTTAATCCAAAAACAGAGCCCAATCACTTATAAGATAAATGCCAAAAGTTTTCCATTTCGATTCCCACAATTTTGCTTTTAACAAGCAAATGAATGTTGAAAAGACTTTAACTCAAAAACAGCTCACTACAGGCAGAGCTGTGTGAGCGCAAGCAAAAAAAAAATGAATTGTAAAACACAAAGGCACAACTCTCGCATTTACATAGATTATCAAATTACCGCAGACTAACAAAAAACAATAATAATAATAATAATAATAATGAGTTAGTCTTATAATAAAAGATCGTAACCTTTCACCAAGAAAAAGGCAGAGACAACGCGTACGAGAGATAACTCGTGCATGTATAAATTAAAAAGCAATTTGCCTAAGATATTAAGCAGAACTGCGGGTACGTAGGCAAACAGATGGCTGCGATCTTAAATTCAATTTAATATAAAATCTTCAATTAATACTTTGTTCTAATTGCGACCAAAGCCAGACTCGATACGAAATCAATGAAAAAAACAAAAATATATTTATATGGAATTATAATGACAAACGTATGCCTACGTCACGGAGCCTTAGCAAACAAGTGACTTCGGTTTATTATTTTAAAATATTTTTTTTATTTTTTTTATTTTTATAATATCTACTCAATCCATTATAATTTCCATTTTCGCCGAGAAGCTTTCGCAAAAATTTCAAAAAATTTCAAGCAATCCTCTGGACACGCACTTATGCGTGTATAAATTTTCCTTTTTCTGAAAATCTTTTAAACTTTGAAGGACTTGAGCAACTAATCAGTATGTATCAGTACCCGGCCTTCAGCACAAATGAGTGAACTGTTCCACGAGCTGGTAAAGCGATTTTTTTTCTTTAATCATTTCATGTACGCTGGTATCACAAGTCATTGATCGATCTTGTAAATTACTATGAAGATGAGGTTTCATTTTATTTCAAAAGAAGTCTAGATTAGCTATATATACACTAGGTTCAGGTTTGCCAGTGAAGGTCCAGTAAAGTTTTCAAAGTTTTCTCTGGCATTAAAACCAACCAGCAAATTACTGTACGGGCATATGAATCGCAGATGAAGTTCGATTTGCAGTGAGAAGCAAAATAATTATATGAATACGAACTGTCGCTTACAAATTTTACGGCTTGTAAAACATTTTACTATGATTCCGCTACACATTTCTCTATCAGTCTCCGTTGTATCTCTTCTTAAGCATAAGATCTTCAGTTTGCCGCTACTTTCCGTTCGACACAAAAGTTCGCCGAATAGTTGCGAATATTTCAATTCATAATACAGTTTGTAAATTCGTTTCTTCTTCGTTAAGTCCGTGTTAGCGATACACTCTTGAATTCGAGTATAATGATGGCCCCCAATACTTGCGGTGTAAATATATAAAATTTGTGCGGATATATGCCAATCATAGAATAGGTTAGACCAATCAATTCGCAATCAATTTGTCAATCTGTCCATATGTCCGCCTAATAAATGAGTCAGTGTTTTTTTGAAACTGAATTGAATCGGATCAGTTTCAGGAACACTTCTTAGATAAAATCTTTTTTCGAAAGAGTCTTTATCCGAAATAAAATTGTATTTTTAATATTCTTTAACTAATATAGATAGAGAATATTATTCTGGATGAAATCCTTTCATACAAACGTCGTTACACAATAATAACCGGTGTACGACAACAAGGTCTAGTTTTTGATATATTATGATGCAAGTATGCTCGATTCGTTTAGACGGCATAGATCCCTTTTTCGAATCTTCCGCCCGATAATGTGATTTAAAGAATGCCTTCTATACGACGATGAGATTAAATTTTGTATACTTGATTACCAAGGTAGTTGAAAAATTGTAGAAGAGGAGGAAATGGAGACATTTCGATATCAAAAAATTTCACTTAGATCGAGTGTAAAATTTTATCTGTGCATATCGTGACAAAAACGTGTTCTGCCATAGCAATAACTTGTGTATTGTAACGGATTTGTTTGTTCGAAACGCTGGTGCCTGGATTATGTTAAAGTTTGCAAACTCCAATAGTCATGCCTTCTGAAAATATTTTTTTACCAATAGTGCTCTTACTAAAAGACAACAAATGTTATGTAGGTGTTGCTAAGTAATTCTCAGTTGATATCCACAGGTTTATGACTTTAGATGCGTGCACTGACCCTTTCGATATACCAGAACGTTAACAAATACATAATTGTCGTAAATCTGAATATTATCTGCAATCTCTATTTAATGAATGCTTAAGAATAAACTTAGGTTACCTTCGCAACCTAGTGCAGACCGCTAGTTTTATAGGGAATTGGATAGTAATTTTTTTCTGATCTATCGAACAGCTAGGAGAGTAGAGCCTATGCTGACCCTAAATGTGTATAGGTCTGTATAAATGCATTAATATACACGTATACATATGTATATATATATATAGCGAGTTTTACTATGCTACATTACTGTTGAAAATACTTGAAAGATATTTGAAAAATTTGCAGAATTTTTCATTGTCAAGGCCTTAAACATGAACATATTGAAATCTTTTCATACATGGTTGCTAACGGTTCTTTGTTGGCTGACAACATTTCTACTATTCACATACAACAACTTTACTTTATTAGTTTGTTAAATTGATTGTAAAATGTCGTTTGCTTGTGCAGGCGTAGATGTTGACGATAAACGATTTATAACATTCGTGTACTCGTAATGTAAAAACGAAGTTCGTTTCGTGCACTTTTGTTGCTATCGAGTTTTAAAGTTTAACTCGTTTAATTAACTTAATTAATATGATCTTTACCACATATTTACCGTTTTAATAATATATCCAATCTGACAATATATTGGGTGAAGTTATTTGTTTTCATGGTTCAAGTTACAATGTGATCGCAACACATACATACACACAACTATCTGAAAAGATTGCATAGTCGAAAGAAGAATGTCTAACTATCTATCTCCGGCAGTTGGGAGATAAGAAGAAAAGAAAAAAAGAAAACAAAAAAAGAAGCAAACAAATCGACGCACAGTCGATGTAGATGAGAGAAACATGGAAAAGCTCTTTTAACCTACAGAAAACTAGCATTTAATATGCCTATGTATTTATCGGTTTGTTACTTTCAACACAAACGCAACATTTCAATACCGTCTTCTTTCTTTCTAACAGTATGGCATGCGGGGTTCAACATGGGTTAATACCGTTACATGCCGCAATTTACTCTTTACTCTTTTTCCTTTTCAATTTATTCATTTATTTATATTTTATTTATTTATTTATTTATTTTTTTTTTCTTTCCTTTTTGCACTTTAGCACAAATGCGCACATACTTTTCGATGTTTTTATTTATTTATTTATTTGTTTTTTTTTTTTTAATATTAATTTTCTTCTGTGTTGTTGGGCCTTCTTTCTCTTTTCATTTGTTATTCACGTTTAGCTCATGGATACCGCATTCCTTTTTCTATGGCAACATGCATAGTTTAATAGTGTTTGTTCGTTGCTTACAATGTTTGCTCGTTGCCTTAACAATGCAAGAGATAGTTGGCATATAATGCCTGGGTGTTGTGCTGGGAAAGCAGCAACATACCAAACAACCACCAGCCCGTCAATCAGTTAAATAACCAATTGATGATGAAAAAAGAAAAAAGTGAGACAATAAATAAATAAATAAATAAACGCAAACATTGGCCATTGTCTTTTTCCCATTTGTTGATTGCCTGCCTGCCTGCCAGCCAGCCAGCCAGCCAGCCATCCTATCTGACTGCTTGCTTGTTTGCTATAAACTACTATACGGCTGCGATTGCCATTATGTTTATTGCCACAGCATATGAACCTGTTCCCCCATTTTCCGCAATCACGTTTTCGCTTATCTCTAATAACAGCTTTATTTGCAGAGTATAATTTTTTCTCTACTTAGATGCATAATTGGAATTCGTATCTGTTCGATTTAAAAATCTCATAACCTCTCAGGCATGTTCGTTCAGACAGCGTCAATATTCTTCCCGTTTATGCACAAGAATAATACGAAAATGAAACAGACATCAAATATAAATAAATGATAAGCTTTAAGAGAATTATTAAGAGTATTTTTGATCGGTAAAAGAGAAAATAATGACAACACTGTTAACGATCGCATTCTTATTTGTTTCAATAACGCACACACATATGCAAGTAAACATATTACATTTTCAATAATGCAGCATCGTAAAGGTCATGATATGTTCACTGTTAAGTATGAGTCACGATCCAAATATGTAAAATAAAGCATAACGAACGTTGTACTTGCATACCGATATGTATATGCGAGTAAATAAATCATATTAACCGAAACAGGAAAAAGAAGAAACGCGAAACGCGAAACGAGTCGGCTTAAAACGAATTTTTCTTACATCCACAATTAGATGAGCTTTTTAAAAAGTGATTAGAATTGTGCGTAAGAGTAAGGTATTGCAAGATGGCGCTAAGGCCGCTTATTCCAAGCATAACCATTTAAAACGATCTTAACGATTACACGGCAGTATTTTAAAAAGATGCTCAACGCACTAACGACGAACGTTTTTAAAGGGTTGTGATGTAGGAGATAAGATAAATCAATATTTTTACTAACTGCTCACGGATCGAGCTATGGAGCAAGCTCGTTAAATATTTGTACCTTAAGCTAGGACACGGTATGTCCTCCAGACAAAAAAAAAAAAAAACATATGAAGCCTCGACGTGGATCAATACACTTGACTCATTTAGTATATCTAGCGTTTGATGGATGATGAGCATAAGAATATAAATCATTTTGGAAAGAAAGTCAAG